CCCACATGCCGCGGAGCGGCTGGGCCCATGAGCCATGGCCGCTGAGCCTGCGCGTCTGGAGCCTGTGCTCCGCAACGGGAGAGGCCACAACACTGAGAGGCCCGTGTACTGGCGGGGGGGGGGGGGGGGGGGGGGGGATAAAATTAAAAAATAATCTATAATAAGATTATATCTCAACAAAACTGAAAAAGAAAACCCACACCTCAAAACATACAGGAATGGGGAGCAACGTAAAAGTATACATAAAAAGGTAAGAAATATAGCAGATAGAGATGAAGAATGAGTTCCGAAAAGACAGAGAAAATAAAGAAGAGAAATGCTTTTTTAAAAAATGGTCAAGAAATTTCCAGAATTAAAGATTCCTTTCAATTCAATCTGAAAGGGTTCATAGAGTGCAAAATAGATTATATAACAATAAATAACACTTAGACACATTATTGTGAAATTTTAAACTCTCAAGGTCAAAGAGAATAATATGAAACTTTCTAGTGAGGAAGAGCAGCCCACCCACATAAGAAAAACAATCAGATATTGAGTATCAAAGGCAACACTGGGTGCAAGGAAACAACAGAGCAATTTACTCCAACTTAGAAAGTTTTCACTTTCTCAAGCCTGCTAAAGGCTAACTTCCAAAAATCTACATCACAATGGAGAAAATTTAGATGCATTCCCTTTAGAATCAAGAAGGCAAGCATGCTTGCATCACTACAGCTATTCAACACAGTACTGCAGCAGGTAAAGACCCCACAATATAAAAAGGAAAAAAGTAATAAAAGGTGTAAGGACAGGGAGATACCTCTCCCTCCGCCCCCCCAAAAAAGAAAAGAATAAGATGTGGGAAGTTGTTTTTTAAATTGTAAAAGCTGTAAGGCCCTACAGATTGTCTGTGTTCTAATTATAAAACCTATAATTTAGAAAGAAATCCTGGTATTTCATTGCAACTTTGCATCACCTCTTGCCAATCAGTTCACATGAAAACTGATGTTGCCACTGGAAAATATCTGAACATACTTTGATAGGCTTCAATAAGCAAGATCAATCTTACCAAATCCTGATTAGAAAGCATAACACTGCTAAGGTACATGTGATAATGCAGAAAAAAAAGGCACAGGACTGCCATTAAGAAGAAAATGATATTTTTATACATGCATCTCAAGTTTTAAGAACTCAAATAAGCCTAATCACAGAGAACGACTGGCATATTTTGACAGTCTTGGCTATTATCACATTGTCACATTATAAGTTTCACTGTGTTCCCTGCCAAAAATTGCATGCCGATTTTCAATCAAAATGCGTGATGGACTTAAAAAAAACAACAATAAAGCATGCCAATGAAAAAAGGGAAGATACATTGTAAACTTGAGAGAAACTCTATTCTTAAGAATTTTAAATATACTGATATGGTTTATAGTTGTAGACATTCTGCAATGATTTAAAATTTGTCTTTCCATCCCTAAGCATTTTTGTGCCCACTTGACCTACATCACCTCCCTGCCATGCAGCATTACAGGCGCTTGCAGAGCTCAAGTCTGCAGAAGAGATGAGTATGCATGAAAGATGCCTAAATCCGGATGGACTCTATGGTTCAAACCCCAGCTTTCTCCATCTCAAGTCAGTATTTCTAAGCACAATAAATAGAAAAAGAATACTTCTGAAACTACAGAAGACTTCTTGATATCAAAAAAAAAAAAGTTTTGTATCCAAACCATCTTCCTGTCTTTAATAAAGTAATCCAGTCTTAGGACCAAATGTTTAATCTAAGAACTCCATAAATTAACTAGTATCTAGAGATGCATCTAAGACAGTGATAAATTTTAAAACCTTTGTGAATGTAACATAAAAATCTACGTTAGGAATCAGCAAACTATAATGCTCTCATTCCCATACTTTATGATTATCATTTCTTATGATACAGCAAAATTTCTGAGTCCTCCCTGTGATCCCTCTGATTAAAGTTAAGTTGGTATGGTATTCCATGGGGTACAGATACATGTCTATAAAGAAACTGGCTAGAATGCACCTAAATTATTTTTATGCCAATAGCTCTCCCAAACTATCCATTCAAAACTCACAAATAAGGTTCTTAGAAAACAACCAGAGACTACCCATGCTAGTGAAGAAAGAAGCATTTGAGAAATAAGCTTTGATATCCCCAAAGAACAAAGAATACAAAAACTTCTTTATCTTTAAGCAGGTAACAAACTATTCTTGACCTTCGTTGGGTTCTGATATTCAAGTCCTCTGATCTTCAGTTTCATAAAAGGCAAGTTGTCCATCAATACACACACAACCAACCCCTCTTAAGCAGGAGCAAACAATGTAAAACAGAGGCATCATGATGCAAATTAGAAGACAACCACAACTATGAAATAGAGGTGATATAAGAACCAGAAAGGGCTCTTTAACCTACCCTCCTCCCAAACTCTAGATTTTGAGAACAACATGATTAGGCAATAGTAGGATCTATTTTATTCATCTACCATTTCTGGTAGGGTTATTTAACATAAGGTAACTAACAACTAACTTCCTTATACAGTAACTTAATTTGGGGTTTAGGCAGGCCTATACACATTAAGTGACTGCAGTTCTATTGAATGTGTTTGCTTTTTTTTTTTGCAGTACGCGGGACTCTCAGTGTTGTGGCCTTTCCTGTTGCGGAGCACAGGCTCCGGACGCGCAGGCTCAGCGGCCATGGCTCACGGGCCCAGCCGCTCCACCGCACGTGGGATCTTCCCGGACCGGGGCACGAACCCGTGTCCCCTGCATCGGCAGGCGGACTCTCAACCATGCGCCACCAGGGAAGCCCCTGAATGTGTTTACTTTTATAGCTTAATAATTATGGTCACTGAAAGATTTACTCTGCCATAGAATACATATCAATGGAGAAGTCTAACAAATGAGGTTTCGTTTGTACAGAGAATAACATGGACTTCAAAAAGAATTAGAACACATTTCCTCTGATTACATAACCATCAAAAAAACAATTCTCTGAAGGCAAAAAGGGACATTTATGAGGTGCTGAGAAATCAGAAAACATAATATAAAAGCAAAACTTAAATAAATACAAGCTGGGAAAAATAAAAAAGAGGAGTTACACAATCTAACCTTTTCACCCCAAATCAGTTCCTCCTTTTTCTTGCCACTCCAACATGGATGAAATGTAGAGTAATCGAAATTTACTCTGGAGATACACCAAAGGACTCCAAAAGGCCATGGAGGGAATTTCAACTAAAATTGAAAAGCCATACAGAGGTCTGCAAAGAAAAATACACCACAAATCAAAACCTTTGTGACAAAAAATTAGGATCTACAGGTTTAATAAGCTAACAAAATAACTTGTGCCAATTTTACCACTACCAGAAAAGAAAACTAAGCTAACAGACAAACAACAAAGCAGCAGGTTCACTTCAGCAAAAGCTCCAAGTAATCACCAAAGAGTAACATGCATCAGTGCGACTATCGTTTTTTTTTCCACTGGTGGATTTCATTTTTTGGCAAAAATGTTACTGTCTTTCCAAATTAAGTTATTAACTTCATTTGTTCGTAGTACACTTCTAAGAGGCTCAGGGGCTCAGGCTTAGTACTGTTGAACAGTTACAATTGCATAAAAACAAGGTACTAGCCTAGCCCCACAGGGAAACATTTGTGAGAAAAGGTTTAGAAAAGAAAACCCACCAGGCACGCCCAATAACAGCACATCTGATTCCCATCTTTATTATCCTCTCTATCGCAACTCAAAACACTTAGGGTTTTCTTGGGAAACACTTGGGACCCCTGGGGGCAAAAAACACAAAACGTCTCAATTCGCTGCAACAAACTCCCAAACTTGTATTAACCTGTAGCTGTGTTGAATGCACAACATAAATCAAAATTAAACAGGATTTGTAAAATTGTTAGTCCAGACGTTTAAAAAGTTGTTCTAAGGAAGTTGTGTTTCTTCCAAACTGAAGTTCTGTAGAGCTCACAATTTAAAACGGCTTTACTTCTCCCACTTGTCACTCCTCTTCGGGCCTAAACAGCACACTAAGGGGACACTAATGGGCCACGTGGTTAGTGGCAGCTGGAACCGGTTTAACTTCTATTTAGATTCAATTTACCCAGCACTTACTAGATGCATGGCTTGACTACTCGCACGCCGGACAGTTTATTAAAAGACAAATCCTGCACGAACTTCAACAGTTCTTCGCTGAAAAATCCTCCCCAAACCTCACATCTCCCCAAAATTAGAGTGCACAAGCAGTAGAAACGGATCTAGGAAGGACCACCGTCAGATAAAAGACGGAGGCTCTAAAAAGTCCTCCCAACGAGCAGCCCGGAACTGGCGTCGGGGCGGCATCCTCACCAGGATTCGGAACACCTAGGAGACCCGCACCTCGGCTGATCCCCTGGCCCCGGGACCCGGTGAAGACGCAAACCTCGGGGCGCCCCACCACCACCACCACGACCACCTGTCAGAGCGAGAGACAGCTCCCTACCCAGGAGCCGCCAAGCCCCTGCCAGACGGCGACGCCACCGCAGGGACCGCTCGCTTCCTCGGGGCTCCCGCGGCCAGACACCGCACCCTCCGCGCTCGGGCCAGGAAGGTCCTGGATCGTGACCCCAGCCGAACAACCGACCACGCCCGCCCCTTCCCTGAGGCTGAGTTCAGGGCGGAGTCAGCCCCTCGCGAACACGCTGCTGTCTCCTCCCGCCGCTCCTTCTTAACCGCTCTCCTCTTTAACCGCTCTCCTCAGCCGTGTCACCGCCGTCCGAGCCAGTAACCAGCTACTTACCTCCTGACAGCCGCACCGAGTAACCCCTACCGCCTTGTTCAACGCCGCTGCTGTCGCCGTCGCCCCCGCCGTCTTCGTCACCGCCGCCATGTTTGTTGTGTCTCCTGTTCCCTTACCGCCCCACGGCCTTTCCTAACTCTCGCGTGAGCAGGGCGAAAGCGGAGAGGGAGCTGTTTGTCTATCTCGGCTTTCCGTAAGGGCTAGGGGGCGGGACAAGGGAGTTTGTGGGCGGGGCTCTGGCTCCACCCGCCCCCAGGCATTGGTGTGCGGCCCGGAGGCCCGCCAGAGCCGCTTCCCGGGATCCTTGACGGCGCTTGTCCTGGGGCGCAGATGCAGGGAGCCACGGTTCGGCTGCTGCGCGGCGGCGCGCTGGTAAGTGCGCTCGCAGCGGGCGTCTTGGGGGCCCCGAATGACCTTGGCCCCGGCAGCGGGGTCTTCCCCTGACGGGACTGGGGCGCCCGGCCCACGTCCCGGGCCCGCGCTTCCCTCCCTCCGCCGGGTCTCTCTCAGACCCCTCACCGCGGGCCGGCCACGACCCCGACCTCTCTCCAGGCCTCTAGCCGAGCCGGCCTCAGTTTCTGTAAGGAGGGCTGGGAGTGGCAGCTGGTGAGAAGGGGGCTAGGGGCTGGTCTAGAAGCTTCTTTGACGGAGCAATCACCTTGCATGGAGTCGGAGAGACACAGCTGCAAGATATCTTTTGCAGGCCATTGGGTCCTGAAAGCTACCGAGTCTTGAATCTTTCGAGGCATTTTGTAGAGATGTCATTTCTCTGATGTCGCTTTTCCCCAATGATTACATTTCCTATTTGTCTTGATTCCTTTTTTCCTAAGTGCTAGACCAGGGTTTCTCAGCTTTGGCACTGTTGACATTTGAGGCCAAATAATTCTCAATTGTGGGAGGCTGTCCTGTGCACTGTAGGATGTTTAGCACCCCGGAGTTGTGACAACCAAAGGCAAAATTGCCCCTGATTGAGTACCGCTGGTGTAGACCTGTACTATTGTGTGCTCCAGAAGGGTGGGAAGAAGGGACCATTCTCCTTACAACCTGGTAAAAAACTCTCAACCTATTTGCTGTACCCAGTTTGTTGACTATACGAATCGATCTTCAAGATTCCAACAGGAGCGGTTGAGATTCTGAGGTGCTGTTTGCCAAAGAGTTTTACAAGCTAAATGGTCAGTAGCTTGCAGAAGGAACTCAAAAACACAGCTACCACTTAGACCCATTTCAAAAGTTCACCTGTGGTGTAATGAGGCCCTCAGCTAGGGCGATACCACTGACGGTTAGCGAGGAAGATACATTAATAGACTTGAGAAGAGCTGATAATTATCTTGAGATGGAGGAATTAGATGGACTCCACATTTTCTAAATGGAGTGGCTTAGTGGTGGGCAAAGATTGGGATGTCTGGAGGAAACGTAGTTTAGGGGGAACAGAAGGAAAATTAATTAATTCTCTTTTAGACTTTAAAAAGTGTTAGTAAAGTGTACCCCTGGAGAGTTTTGGAAGCTGGACAGGAGGAGGATCTGGAGACCAGCAGAAAAATAAGAGCTAGAGAAGTAGGAGACAGGCAAAGCCACAGATGAGGGATGGGGCGTCTGAGGGAATGGAAGCACAGGAGGGTACAAGTCAGCCTTTGGAGTACATTACAGACCATTCTGGGTAAATGGTGAAGAAAGGCAAAGCAAAAGGAGAATAAATGTAGGATATCAGAGGAGGCTTTGTGACAAACATGCTTTATTCAGAATTGGAGCAAAAGAAGTAGAGGGATATTTCAGTCCTTTCTTAAGAGCAAAAGTACAAGCAGAGTTTGTGCCATGTAAAGGAAACAACCCAAGGAAAGCAGAGGCAAGTGTTTTTTGAGAAGTTCAAAATACAGCCCCCTAACCCAGGGTCAATTTATGGAGATACGGATTGAAAATTGAGGCAGCACATGAACTTGGTCCATTGAACCATGAAGAACTGCTTGAGGTTCTGGTGCTCCCTTGACTCGGTTTGGTGTTCACCTGGGGGCACTGGAATATGCCACACCTGGTCTGGAGCTCAGGTGTCCTTACTTCTATCTTAACTGTTCTTTCTGCTACCAGCCTGGTTTCCCTGAAAAGGAGGGTGGCTCAAAGAAATTCCCAGTACCTGGTAAGGTATTGGACCCAAGTTAATTGCACAATTTTTAAAAAATTCATTAATAATCCCACCTTTTAAGATTCCTCTGGAAATAAAGGGAAGTTAGTCTCTGGTTTTGTTTTTGTACACTGGTAGTTTGGGAAAGAGAACTTGTTGACTTGGCTAAGGTCACACGGAAGGCAAACAGGTCTCCTTTATGCTGGTTCCTGGCACTGTACCCTGTCTTGGTTTATTTAGCCCACTCCCGAGGCAGTCTACTCTTCTTCTAGAAGGTGGTGATACTGTTAGGAACTACTAGGGGCTGGAATGAGGAGCCTGAGACTGATGGAAGGGAAAGGTTACCTGTTTAGTAGTTTTCGAGAACACCTGAGAACAGAAGCTACTGTTTCGGGAGGAAGCAAGCAGGGATTAGAGAGATTCTGGTGCCAAAGTTTTGGCTTGGGCATATGAAAACAGAAACGATCAAACTCTTTTTTTTGGTTGCGGGGGGGTGGGTGGGCTGTGTTGGGTCTTCATTGCTGCACGCGGGCTTTCTCTAGTTGCAGCGAGCGGGGGCTACTTTTGGTTGTGGTGCATGATCTTATTGCGGTGACTTCTCTTTTGCAGAGCACGGGATCTAGGCACGCGGGCTTCAGTAGTTGTGGCTCGCGGGCTCTAGAGCGCAGGCTCAGTAGTTGTGGCTCGTGGGCTGTAGAGCGCAGGCTCAGTAGTTGTGGTGCACAGGCTTAGTTGCTCCACGTCATATGGGATCTTTCTGGACCAGGGCTTGAACCCGTGTCCCCTGCATTGGCAGGCGGATTCTTAACCACTGCACCACCAGGGAAGTCCCAGGATCAACTTTTAAAATCTAAAGTCAGGTATGCAGTACTTAAGTCAGATCTTAAAATGGACATCCCAGGTTTAGTCAGAATTCAGTAAAGTGTTGCTTAGTAGAAGACTGGAAGTCCTTGAACTATTAGGGCATAGAGAAATAAGTATTGTGTAATTTACTGAACAAAAGAACATATAAACCCTGAAGGATAAAACAGCATTAATAAGTATAGGGGAGGAAAACTGTTCCCCTTTTCCCTTCTAGGTTCTTTAGCTGGTCTGATAATTAAATTGGCATGACAGATTAACAGGAGAAAAACAAATTCTGTACTTAAAGGAGCCCATAAAAAATATGAGACTCAAAGAAGTGACCAAAACCTGCAGCTTTTATGCTCTTTAGACAAAGAAACATTTCTTTCGGTACATTTGTGAAGAATTGAGAAGAAAAAGAGGTTTGGGCTTGGGGTAGCTAATTAGTGAGGAAGTAACAAGCTTTGTTCATACAGCCTCCTCTGCCCTCAGTTCCCTGTCCTGATGAGGATGCCCTCTACCCTCCTGGTGCAGGGAGAGTACCTTTCACAGGAGAGATTATTTCCTGTTTTCAGGGGGGACAGAGGAGGTCAGTATCCTTCTTGCACTGCTATTTCTTAAGTATCTTTAATTCAAAATGATCAGTGTGGGGACTTTCCTGATGGCGCAGTGTTTTAAGAATCCGCCTGCCAATGCAGGGGACTCGGGTTCGAGCCCTGGTCCAGGAAGATCCCACGTGCCACGGAGCAGCTAAGCTGTGCGCCACAACTACTGAGCCTGCGCTCTGGAGCCTACACACCACAGCTACCAAAGCCTGCGTGCCTAGAGCCTGTGCTCTGCAACAAGAGAAGCCACCACAATGAGAAGCCCTCACACGGCAATGAAGAGTAGCCCCCGCCCGCTGCAACTAGAGAGAAAGCCCGCTCACAGCAACGAAGACCCAACGCAGCCAAAAATAAATAAATAATTAATTATTTTTAAAACACGATCAGTGTGCAAAAGTGGCATATTTAGGGGTGGCATATTCTGCTCCCCTTTATAAGCAAATCCTCATCACACCTCCTCCTCATCATTCTTGGCTATAAGGGAAATTTGCCTCGGCGTGACTCTGCCTGCCTCAGCACCTAAGGCAGGAGGAGAAGGTGTGTCCAGTGTAGTTCTGACATCTACTGACTACACAGTGAGCCACAGCTGTCAGACCTAAATCCTGTTTTAAATACTGGCCTACTGCAGAACTGTTTATATGCAGTGTTAACCCTTACATCCACGGAGCGCAAAAGCATCAGAAAATCACTGTTCTCATTTTGCTTAGGTTAATTACCCTAAAGCGGTAACAAGCGATGAGCATAATTAAGCACATTGGTGTTTAATCTCGTATTTATTATATAAAAACTTCACATGAAGGACCTTCTTTCTACTACTACTTCCTTTTTGGAATACCTCCTAAATATATGTCTTTTAAACAACCAGTACACAGTATTTGGCATAAGAAATAAAATGTTTATTCATTAATTCTTCTAAATCATTGATATAATTCTCATAAGCCATACCAATTCCTATAATTTTAAAGCTACAACATTTGGTTTCTCTAATTTTAAAGGAATTTAATTTACTTTTTTGGGTGTGGGGGAGGAGTGATACAATTCTTTAAAAGTATTTATTTTCAGTAGATAATTGTAGAATCTCATGCAGTTATAAGACCTAATACAAAGAGATCCTGCACACCCTTTATCCAATTTGCCCCAAAGGTAACATTGTACAAAACTATATTTCAGTATCACAACCAGGAAATTGACATTGATGCAGACCATCAATCTTTTTCAGGTATCTCCAGTTTTAAACATAAATTTGTACACTTCTGTGCAGTTTTATCACATGTATGCACCACCACTGTCAAACTACAGGACAGTTCCGTCAGCACAAGGAGCCCTTGTTTTACCCTTTTTTTTTTTTTTGCTGTACGCGGGCCTCTCACTGTTGTGGCCTCTCCCGTATGTGGAGTGCAGGCTCAGCAGCCATGGCTCAGGGGCCCAGCTTCTCCGCGGCATGTGGGATCCTCCCGGACCGGGGCACGAACCCGTGTCCCCTGCATCGGCAGGTGGACTCTCAACCACTGCACCACCAGGGAAGCCCTGTTTTACCCTTTTATAACTACACAACATCCCTACTCCGCCACCCCACCTGTTTATAACCCTTGATAACCACTGATCTGTTCCCCACCTGTACAATGGTATCATTTCAAGATTATTAGGTAAATGGAATCATGTATTTGTAACCTTTTGGAATTGGCTTTTTACATTCAACATAATTATTATGACATTCAAACAAGTTGTTGCCTGAATCATACTTGGTTCCTTTTTATTGCTGAGTAGTATTCCATTGTAAAGGAGGAAAAAACCTCTCTTGGGTTTAG